GGTTATAATAAAAGGGATAACATGAACCGTGCTTGTGTATATACAGAGATAATTACTAGCTGTAACGAAAGTGTCAGCTTCTTTCTACGCTGAACAAGAGATAAAAGAATTATTCTCGAACAATGAGGCTCGCCCACCGGCGAACGAATGCGATTCGTAATTATCCAGAGACAATTACGCGGGCATTCGTCGCACCAGAATGCTACATTAATTGTTGACCGGCCCGGTTGTTTCAATGCCGGCGCACACAGGCCAAGTATCGTAATCGTTTCAGCGACTCGCGTAGCACCGAACAATATTCGCGTGTTAAACGTTAATTTCAGCCAATTTCTTTGTCGCTAATTTTAGTGGCGGAGGACAACACCGTTGGCCGACGCGCCGCGCGAACAAAGACGGGCAAATTAATCGATTTATTTGGAGTTAGAGAGCTCGCGCTGTTTTGCGTACCCAGGATTCCAATGAATTTGTTGTTCATTCGAAACAGATATGGGAATGGCTAATGGAACGCCGCACGTATGGTCATTGAAAGAAGTAGAAGAAAAGAAAAATCGCAGTATGTATTTATAAAAGGATACTAGAGAAAAATGGAAGAGTATGCTGGTGGTGGTGGATTCGGTGACGAGGAAATGGAGTTAATGGGTTGTATTATGTGTACTGTGGAAAATCACGAGTAATGCCTCGCTACGGATAAACACTCTCGCCTATGAAGCAATACACGCATCTTTATTTTACCACCAATAATAGTACCTATACTACCGGCCAAAAGTTTGGAATCACTTGCCGATTTCTATCAAAATCGAATATACCGGTAAATTTTGCAATGATCCATCGTTAATATATCAGATGTTAACAAGTTGAATTATATTTTAAGAGATTTCAGCATTTTCTTATGTTCATAATGCTATTATATAATTCATACACTCAATTTAAGGCAACGCTCGGAATGAACTTTTCTACTGCCGTGAAAGATACTCTGTTTTCGCCTTATATAGGAATTCGCGATTCTTTTGTTTACCAATAAGCGTCGAATGTTACAATTTTAGATTCCAATTGGCTGGTCCGGGGGCCCCGAAAATGTATAAATCGGACATTTGTTATACATTGCCACCATTCTCGTGAACGAAGGCGTTGAAACGTGATCAGCGGCTAAAATTTTACATTAATACTTTAAACTGGTAAAAAGAATAGAAATTAGTATTGAAACTCAAAGTGCAATTATCACACTTAGAAAGGAAGGTTATTCTTTGCGGAATATTGCAAGGAAATTGAAAGTGTCATACAAGGGCGTGCTGGGTACAGTAAAACGTTTTGCGGATACTGGTAGTTTGAAAGACAAACCACGGTCAGGAAGACCCAAAATCACGTCGAGAGCTGAAGATGTAAGAATAAATATTATTTGCAAACGAAACAGACAACTAACGGCCTCGGAAATTCGGGTAGGAGTTAACGATAGTAGACCAAATCCAATATCTCTGACCACGGTGAAAAAGCGACTAATTGCAGATTTAAATTGCCATATAGCAGTGAGGAAACCATTGCTTTCGTCGAAAAATCGTAAAATGCGGTTGGATTGAGCAAAAAGTCAGAAAAATTCAAGTTCGAAATATTTGGGTCGCACCGAAGGATATTTGTTCGCCGATCTGTACAAGAAAAAATATTGCCAGAATGTATTGTACCTACTGTCA